GGTTGTGCTTGAGATCTTTCATTGTTGATGCAGGTGATGATACAATTCTTCTATTCTCCTACATAAACTGAAACCGAAGAGGCCAACTGATGTCGTATATGTTTCTCTTATTTAAAAGAAATCGCGGAAATTTTCTTTGTTGACACTACTCCATTTGTGGACAAATACTTTGCTACCCAAAAGGATCATGTCTATGACTGGAAAGGTGCGTCTCCAAGGGAGGAATACATTGCAAACCTTCTAAAGGTAGGTCAATTATGTCAGGAGGTGTTTGTCAAAAACAATATGATTTTGCTGATGTGGTACTTGTTTTTCCTTTGAATGACGAATTCTTAGGTTTTGGCAAATACCCCCTTAATCTTCCCTTTTTATTTGGAATTCATTTCTAAGAGATGACAATGGATTAAACACTCAAAAATGGATTATTATTGATTTTTTTATTAGGATGTTGATTCGGCGTTGAGAGAGTCGACCGCAAGATGGAAAATCGTCGTTGGACACCATGCAATCAGAAGTGTTGGACACCATGGCGACACCAAGGAGCTTGTAAAGCAGCTTCTTCCAATACTTGAGGTACTATAGAGAATTAAAAGATAAATTAGAAGAAAAATATAAGAAATTATTGTTATATATTATTATTATTATAGGCCAACAATATCGATCTCTACATGAACGGCCACGACCACTGCTTGGAGCACATCAGTAGCAGTGTTAGGTAAATTTGTTCGAACCATTTATTTTTTAAGTCTTAGTTTGGTAAGAGTACAAATACATACTAGTATAGCACAAAGTCTTGTATTTTGTATTTCTAAATCTGTATTTACACTGTACACATTTGTATCTGTACTCTTTCCAAACTGAGGAGTTGCTTCAAAAGAAGAGTGGATCTTTATTACAATGATGACTTGGGTGAATTTGAAATTGAAATGCAGTCCCATCCAGTTTCTAACGAGTGGAGGTGGTTCAAAGGCTTGGAGGGGTGATGTGAAGGGAATGAAGCAGATGGATGGAGTGAAATTCTACTATGATGACCAAGGCTTCATCTCTGTACAAGTGACTCAGACCAATGCCAAGATCGCTTTCTATGATGTTTTTGGCAATGTAATTCACAAATGGAGTGTGTCCAAGTAATTCTGTTACTCAGCCCTCTAGAGAGGGGCTGAACAGAAGAAGAAGAAGAAGAAGAAGGAAATGAGATTTGTAATTAGACAAAAAGAATTTATTGGACAGCTAGCTAATGCATCAAATTCATGAATCTCCTTGATTTATTAGGCAAAAAGAAGGACCGGTTGGGGTTTGGCAGGTGCAATTAGGGAGGACTCGGGTTGGGATTTGGTTAAATTTTGAATGGGCCCAACCTGAAAACCCAGGCCCAATGTAGTGTAAAACCTTCAAACCCGGTACTTGATTAGAACCCCTAGTTTGGCTAGGTCCAGATCTTCACAGGAGGGCCTAAGTTGGCAATCAACTCAACACAATCCACGCAAGTTGAACTTTTTTCTTTTCTTCATGGGGATACACAACGAGGGTAGCAGGTATCCCATAATCCCCTTAACCCTGGTAACTAAAGTATGAATCGAGTATTTCTTTAGGCTGTGTTTGGTTTGAAAGAAAAAGGAAAGGAAAGGAGGGCAAAATAAGTAAATTAAGGAAGACATTTCCCTTCCTTTGCTTTCTACCAAACACAGCCTTACTTTTTGTTCTTTCTTTCTTCTCAATTAGAAATTGGAAAAGGAAATTAGAGGCTAGTGCCCCCTCTTTAGGACTACGTTCACACCTTTTCAAAGCTTGAGTTGGCCAGCCCAATCTCTACCCTAACTAAACTGAACTCTACTCAGGGCTGGGCTCAGAACTGAGGAGGATAAGGTAGGGGTAGGTAGGTTGGAGGTCATATCCTGAGCCTGCCCATAAAAACCTTGACTTGGAATAACTCGGGTTTGGGTTGGCCCTTGTCAAGCCATAGCCCTAGAGTAACTTGGGCAGTCCCAAATGGAGTTCTCAAAATTTTAATGGGCCCAACCCAAGCTTCCGGGCCTGACACGGTGTAAATTCTTGGACTCAGATACCCAATTTCCAGCCTGAATTGGGCCCCAGAGGACAATTGGGCTTATCAGGTAAAAACAGGTTTTCTACACTTCCTGCACTAACCAGACAATTATCGGGATTTGTCTAACTCTCAGTTACTCTCACGTGTAAAGGCTTATAGACACGTGCAATAAAATACATGTCACACAGTGGTTGGTTAGTCTGAGAAGTGTAAAAAATAAATGTAGTAGAACCTTGCAGTTATTCTGCTTCAACTGTTTTGAAGTGCACCCCTATTCAAAGAGGCTGAAACAAACAGCCCTTCAAATGACTTATAGACATCAGATCTGGGCTCTTCAGGTTTTTCTCCAATAGCCAATAGGCTGTCTGCGTAGGCTCCACCTCAGAAAACTGGAAGCTGTTGCACTTCAGCCCTCACAATTTCCCAAACAAGTAGATTTGTGTATGGGACTACTGGGTATTGACTATTGAGTATTAGCGATTTGGGTCCGTGGTTGAACCTTTAGGTTGTATTTGGTTTGAAGAAAAAAGTAGGAAAATGAAAGAAAAGATAAGAAAATTTATACAAAGTTTGTAAAAATTTTCTTACTTTATAGGTTTGGATATCCCCTCTCTCCCTACTCAGATTTTCGGATCAGATTGGATCAAATAATATGATCCGATTAAAATTCAGGTCATCCCATATGATAAAAATAGTTGGAAAAACTGCTTGTATTTTTATTTTTCTAGATTGTTATGTTTTTTTGTTTAAATAATTTACTAAATTTTACACAAACTAAATTGGACCGGATTAGATTCAGATATCCAACCTCAATGGATTCAAATTCGAATTGACCTTTGTAAAATCCTATTGAATCATCGAATCAGATCAGACATAAGATTTACATTACCAAGTCAGAGTCAAATACACCCGGATTCGAATCCCATCCGATCTACTTACATCCTTTTAAATGTATGGACCCGAGTTGGACCCAATTCTGATTAAGACATTTGCAGACCTAACTTTGCTAGCAAAGGATTTTTGTTCCAGGGTCAGGAATGTTAGGTACTCCCTCTTTATTGCTTGATTTGGGAGGGCTGAAGTGTAACAGCTTCTACCTTTCCAAGGTGGGCCCTACAGAAACAATTTATAAGAGCCAAAATTAGTTGTCAGTCAGTTATAGACATAGGCCATGCTTGGGAGTGCTTAAAAATAAGTGTTTATTTAGGCTGATATCACCATTTAACACATACTGATGTTTGGGAAATAAGCCAGAAATAAGTGGTTATTTTAAAAATGAGGGCTTATTTTTTAATCCCAAAATTTCAGTTTTTTTTTTAAGTGCTCATACAATAATCACTTATTCAATTTGTTTCTCCCAGACTTGTCCCCGATAAATTTTTAAAATACCAAATATACCCTTTCAATATTGTTACTTTTAGCAATAATATTGTTACTTTTATGAAAGCACATTTACAAAAGTACTTTATAAAAGTATTTTTACAAAAGTACTTTTATAAAAGTACTTTTRTAAAAGTATTTTTATAAAAGTACTTTTACATAAAAGCACTTTTATGAAAGTACTTTTATATGAAAGCACTTTTATGAAAGTACTTTTATATGAAAGCACTTTTACGAAAGCACCTTGAAAGTACTTCTATAAGAGCATTTTTATGAAAGTACTTTAATAAAAGCACTTTTGTGAAAGCACTTCTATCAAAGTACTTTTATTCATTCACTTTGGATTAGATTTTTTGAAAATTTGAAAGAAAATGAAAGGCAAAAGAGTCACAAGTGCTTATTAGAGAAAAAAACCACCAAACACCTAATCTAAAAATAAGCACTTGAAAAAATTGGGTGCCAAATGCAAATAGGTGCTTATTCAAATAAGAACTTGTTTTTAAGCACTTATTTTTAACATGAACACTCCCAAACATGGCCTTATAGGGGTGCAATTCAGGTGGGCCCAAATTAACATTTTAGACTGTTTTGTGCTTGAGACCCAGCCCATTTAAATTTTGACAAAATTCCACCTCAGCCTCTGAAAGGCTTAATGGGAGCACTACAAAGCGGTTTAACCAGCTTAGCTGAAGATTCATTTCAGCCCTCCCAAACAGGGCTTAAATCACAAGGACAGAGCAAATCATACTTCTCAAAGCTGTGTGCATATAGAGAATTAGAGATCTAACCCCTCAGATCATAGTTCTCCAACGAAGGGTCATATTTTCTATGTGCGACCATCACATCCAGAAGACTGAGATCCCTGGATGTAAAGATATGGGTGAGGGGTCGTCTTGAGGTAGGTAGAAAATAGAAATTAGGGCTCACTCTATTCTATTGTACTCTTTCCAAACTGAGCCTAGGCAATACTTGTTAACACCGATAATTGAAACACTAGATGCCTATATCTAGATGTGTATAGGAGGATCCCAAAATCAGACCCATATGGAAAAAGTACAAACAAATGAAAGGCGTGTGAGGTTTCGGTTTCCCCATTCTTCTCCAACTCACTTTCTAGCTATTCTATGTTTCTAACCAACTTTCCTCGACAAGAAAAAACTAACCAACTTTCTTACCTAGCCTCTTCCTTGGTGGGAGTGGGACCCATCTCTCTCTCTCTCTCTCTCTCTAAATCACTCACCCACCCAATGTCATTATCTCAATATTATTTGGAAGGATGGACCCAATAAATATTATCAAGATTATGTGATCAAGGATCTATTGATGGGACCCACAATTGGCTGGCCTGATCCGTTCACGTAGAATTATTTATGCCACTCCCTGCCTCTTGATTGATTACAGCCTGATTTTAATATTTGTATACGTTTCGTACCCAAATATGTTCATCTAATTTATATAAAAAATAAAAATGACAGTTCGATCAGGTTTCACGCGCCTTACTTGCGTGATTCTTTAATACTTCAATCGATTGCTTTTCTGGGTCAAGTTCTATACGGCTATAAAAGGCTGCATTGATGAAGCACATTTTGAATCTTGAAGACTTATAGCTCCTCTCTCGTTTGTTCTCAACTTCTGTCCTCTATTCCCTCCCTCTGAGCCATGGCTGGCTTCTCCTACAAATACAAATCCAAGGCTTTGTGCCTTGTCTTGGCCTTTACTCTTGGCTCATGTTTGTTCTCCACACTTGCCAAGCTTCAACGGTTTGAGCACCCCTCAAATGCTGATGGGTCGCTTAGCTTTTTGGTCATTGGAGACTGGGGGAGAAGAGGAGCTTACAATCAATCTCAAGTTGCCTTTCAGGTTATCATATACATTCACTCTTCTATATCACTTCTTTTTCTTCTTCTTCTTCCTCCTCTTCATCCTGTTAGGTGGGTCAAGTTGCCTTTCAGGTTATTATATACATTAACTCTTCTATATCACTTCTTTTCCTCCTTCCTCCTTTTTCTATTTCTTTACAGCCTCTTCAAGTTGCTCTGTGGTTGCATTAAATTTTTAAAATTACAGTTTGTAAAAATGTTTTTATAGTTTCTTCCAAGTGTTCACAGTTGCTCCTCTTTTTACTACTCACAAGTTACGACGTGTAGAAAAATGGCACTTATTTGTTTTATTTGTAGCGTGACTGCGTGAGGTGAGACTACAGAATGCAATGAGTCATTAAATCATGAACCTGATTTGTATCTCTTTGTTCATTATATAGATGGGGAGGATCGGAGAAGAGCTCGATATAAATTTCATTATCTCTACTGGGGATAATTTCTACGAGAACGGATTGACGGGCATCGATGATACAGCATTTGAAGAATCATTTACCAATGTATACACTGCTAAGAGCTTGCAGAAGCAATGGTACTCTGGTGGGTATAGACTGAAATGGGTTAGAAACGAATGAACTTTCTTTATTTATCTTGAAATTTAACTTTTTTTTTTCTGCTTTTGAACTGAAAATATGCAGTTTTGGGCAACCATGACTATAGGGGTGATGTAGAAGCACAACTGAGCCCTGTTCTTAGGAAGATAGACGGCAGATGGCTGTGTTTAAGATCTTTTGTTCTCAATGCAGGTGACATAATTCTCCTTCTAAGATTTTCTCTTAACTTCATCTGCTAGGATCAAAATTAAAGAAGCCAGATGATACATTATTTTCCTTGTTATTTGATAGAAATCGCCGAGTTTTTCTTCGTCGACACAACCCCCTTTGTAGAGAAGTATTTTAGCAATCCAGAGGATCATACCTATGATTGGAATGGTATTTCTCCTCAAAAGGACTATGTTGCAGACCTTCTTAAGGTAATTCAATTATAACCTTCCTCCCTATATATTGTATATGGAACTCATTTTCATGTAAACAACAGACCAAATGTTCAATTAACTCTGTAACTAGGACGTCGAATTGGCACTGAGAGAATCAACTGCCAAGTGGAAGATCGTCATTGGTCACCATGGGATCAGAAGTATTGGATATCATGGTGATACCCAGGAGCTAGTCAAGAAGCTTCTTCCAATCCTTGAGGTAAGTAATCAAAAGAAGAATGGGAGGGTTAAAACTTGAAAACAGAGAAGAAAGAAGAATTCATGGTTATGACTTCATTTAGTTAAACACATAATGAATTTCCCGAATTTCCAGGCCAACAATGTTGATTTCTACATGAATGGGCATGACCATTGCTTGGAGCACATTAGCAGCACAGTCAGGTAAGATTGTTCAAACTAATTGATATGATGAGGAGTTGCTTGTGAAGAAGAGAAGTTGGTTTTAAGACTAAGTAAATGAGCTTTCTATGCAGTCCAATCCAATTTTTGACCAGTGGAGGAGGGTCAAGAGCATGGAGGGGTGATTTTGGTGGATTGAACCAAGATGGGGTGAAGTTCTACTATGATGGGCAAGGGTTCATGTCTGTGCAACTCACTCAGAGTGATGCCAAAATTATGTTTTATGATGTATTTGGCAATGTTTTGCACAAATTGAGTGTGGCTAAGCAGGCTTACTCAGCCATGTAGAGAATTAATTGAAACACAAAACACTTTGCTAGATTAGCCTAGCAAATTGAAATTGTAATTGAAGCTTTGGAAATCATTTTCAAAGAATACAATCATAATGATACGGATTAAGAAAAGTAGCAAATATTCTTCCATTGTTCCTAACTAGAACCAGAGGTTCCATTTGGAGGGGCCAATTATTGACCCAATTCAATTTTGTCCACCAAACAAAGAAACAAGACCCAGAGGGTCATTCTCCCCTTTAATAGACAAGAATCCATACTAGAGAGTTGGCATCTGCTGTGGCCACTGTAGCAGCATTTTGTTGTGCCCATCCAATGAATTGTGGAAGCAGTAGTGCCTTAATAAAAAGAAAATGAGTAGATCACAGTGCGTTGAATTTAAAATGAAGGGGATTTTGTTGTCAACTTGTCATTGGTGTGATTAGAGTTTGTTTATCAAAACTATGGGATGTGCATTAAAAGATGGGTGGATCATAGATCCTGTGTCAGGGTTGGGCCACAATATCCAAATTGTGGTCTGGACCATCATAACCCTATTTACATCTACAGTTCTACACCAAAAATCAGCAAGATAATTATAAGATTTCTAATGAAATTTTATCTATACTCCGTCGGTCTGTCCTAATTATGCAGCGGTCTATTTTCTAATTTTTGTACTTGGTCCAACTCATTTCCATTTTGGGAGTATAGACCCACTGAATTACGTGTACAGACCTTCTGAATATGTGACAAGTGGCAAGCTGAGAAGCGGCAGACCAGTCCCGATACAGAATTTGTGATGAATTAGACCACCCACCCAGAATTGGTAGGAATAGGGATTTGGAACGTGGATGCATTTTCATTTGGTTGGGCAGAACTGGAATCCCACGATGGAATGGCATTTCTCAATTTCAATTTCCATCTGAACCAAACAGGTGGGAAATAAGCTATTCAGTTCCAATTCCAACCACAAATCAAATGGATCCTAAATTAATTCATTTCTTAGTTCCAATTACAATTCCTACTAAGTGAGGTATACCGGATTGGATTGAATTGGGTCTCTATCTCAATCAACAAATCAATCAAACATTGCCATTGCCACGTTAATACGTATCCTACCAATCAAGTGCTTCACTCATAAATAAAAGACAAATTGGCATCTCTTTAATTAAAGGAGTCCTTGACCATTCCTGCATCCACCACCACATATTAAAGATGCCTGAAAAAGAAAGAATCGATCATCCTCTGAACATGCGTGAACAGGAATGCAAGCCAATGGGTGGCAGGGGGTACCTGAATACCCGACATTGGATCTGGGTCCAACTCATAAATAAAAGGCATTGCCACCTTACTACGTATCCTACCAATCAAAGTGCTTCACTCATAAATAAAAGACAAATTGGCATCTCTTTAATTAAAGGAGTCCTTTCCTGCATCCACCACCACATATTAAAGATGCCTGAAAAAGAAAGAATCGATCATCCTCTGAACATGCGTGAACAGGAATGCAAGCCAATGGGTGGCAGGGGGTACCTGAATACCCGACATTGGATCTGGGTCCAACTCAGCTCTATAAATTAAAGACCCAGTAAGAATAATGTGGGATTCTGGGTCCAATTTACAAAGACCCAGTAAGACCCATAAATATTTTTTTTAATTATATGAATTATTCAAATAAAAGGGTAAATTCTTTTTTTCTTTTTCTATCACTAATTTTTATACAAATGTTCAAGGTTTCCTTATACCCAATTGGCTCTGATCATTTGACAGATCTGGTTCTGGAGCCAACTCTGTCAAACCTGGTAGACCCGGAACCTTTAACCCCCCCCCCCCGTTTGCAAGAGTTTGGTTTAGTCAACCAACCCAAGCAAAAATAATCATATAATATGACCAAGATCCAACTGACCATCTATCAGAACAACCATCATGGAGCTGATTTTCAAGATTCCTTGTCGTATGAACTATCTTTAGTGGGTCTATTATCTTCTCTTTTATTATCTCTTGAAAAACACCATTAACTTTTCCTTTAAAAAAAAGGACCTTATCCCTTATCTGAACAACCCATTTATTAATGATGAGTCCATTCCCATAATAATTTTTGTTTTGTCCAACCCTATTATCATTTCAACTCTAGATCCTCTAATAATTTCATACTATCCCCCAATTTCAATGGACATGTTTATCAAACCCAAATCCACTGAAAATTTTTGGAGGAGGCCCATTAGATGTTTGAGGGCCCATCTTTTTGCCAATTTTGTAACTGGATGAGTGAGCTTGCTGCTTCTCACACCATCTTACAATATGTTGCAGTCATGCATTAGGAACATCTTCTCATGAATGACAATATACAAATATCGGAGATGTTCTCAATGTGCAGTTGCAAGTGCTGTGAAGTTAGTGTGAAGGTCGCTCTATGAGGAACAAATCCACAAAAGTGGAACAAGATTTATGTCATTATTCTAAAAACTGATCCAAATATAGAACCATTTTTTGCCTCCGGGTTCTGGGTCAGTGGTTCAATCATCCAGTTTGAACAGATTGGCCCATGGTGTCCTCACAAACATATTAAAATGTTTAAATTATAAAAAAAATAGTTATCATCCCACGAACCGTTGTTTGAGTTTAATGGTTTGATGATTGGACCATCTGGGTCAACAGTTCGTTAATCAAACCAAGGGTTTTTTTGTAAAATAACAGACCAGATGGTAAATAGACCTGGAAAGGTGACCAATTCCTGAGTCCAATGGTTCAGCCGCCTAGATCAACAACATTTTGAAAACATTGATTTATGTAGTATCGAAGGATTAAATGATTATTATTATTATCATAACTCGCAATGGACCTGTCCTCTGGACAGGTAAAATAGATGGAGCTTTATCTTGACAAGTGGGTAGAACAGTGCACCTCCCAGCCCAATGTTTAGGTTCATAACCAGGCCACTCCTCCCAAGCATGGTTTTTAAAATCGATTTGGAGACTGAATCGGTCAGAGGTCTGGTTACTGGGTCAAATGATTCGATTTTGACAAAAAAAATAAAAAATTAAAAACAATAAAAACCAATTAAAACCGTTCGAACAGTTTGAACAATTAACCACCCGGATCAGCGATTTGTTGATCAAATCAATGATTTTAATAAAAAATCTGGTTTTGAAAAAACCAAAATCATTCACCTGACCAATCCCCAGTTTTTCCGGTCCGACCGTCCGATCTAATCTGATTTTAAAACCATGCTCCCAAGACCCATAGCCACGAGGCCCACGACTAATATTGGCTAATGAAGAGAAGGGATAGAAGTTGAATTATAGAATTCCATTGTACAAAAGGGAATGTTGGATGAAATGTATAGGACTGCACTTAGGTGGGCTTGAGATGTATAGGACTGCACTTAGGTCGGCTACGGGGTGGCAATGGATACCCGATCAGTAGCCCGTTACTAGATACACCAGCTGGGTCTGATTAACAGGGTCTGAGTAAACATGGACCAAATGAAAATCGGGTCCAACTCAGTTTCTTAGATTTTTGACCCATGGATGGCCGGGTTCAACTCCAGTTACCCAATAAACACTTGGGTGCAATCTTTCTAGGTAGAATTTGGATTCGACCCTGAAATTCGGATTTATCAGTCATGAATCTCTATATCTTGCTCTTTGGATATACTTTCAAGCATCATGAAATTGAAGAAAAAATGGATTTTTCAGTTTTTTAAATTATGGAATTTAGGTCATGTTTGGGAGTGTTTAACTTAAAAATAAATTATTATTTGAATAAGCATTTATTTGCATTTGGTAGTCTTTTTCTCCAATAAGCACTTAAATAAGCATTTGTGACTGTCTTTCATTTTCTTTCAAATTTTCAAAATATACCCTTATGAAAATACTTTTATTAAATTATTTTTATAAAAACATTTTTTGTGAAAGTATTTTTTCAAAAGCATTTTTACAAAAGTACTTTTAAAAAAATAATTTATGAAAACACTTTTATAAAAGTACTTTTATGAGAGTACTTTTAGAAAAGTATTTTAATAAAAGCACTTTTACGAAAGTACTTATATAAAAATACTTTTATAATAAAAAAGTTAAAAATTTGGACTTAAAATAAACCCTTATTTTAAAATAAACATTTATTTTAAATTTATTTTCCAAACACTAATAACACAAATAAGCACTTATTTCTATTTAGCTGTTTAACACTAATAACCCTTAAGTTTTTTAACAATTGTCCGTCTCCTCCCCTGCCTTAATATCCTTTAATGCTCCTCCGAAATTTATACACACGTGACACCGGGTGATGTCTTCGATATTCAATTTTGCCCTTCGTCCCTCTCCCTTCTTCACCATATCTCTCACCGACGGCAACTACAGCGAACCACTCTGCACCCATATCGCCGGCGAAGAGGGCTCTGCATCACAGTTTCCCACTTAGATTTTTTTGGGCAATACAAGGAGAGGCCGGATGTGGAAAGGGAAGGAGAACGAACGAAGGGAACCGAGAGAGGGGATGTGGAGGGGTCTGTCGTTGCTGCAATTGCGGTACTAATGAAACAGGGGCGACAGGGAGAGAGAACGAAGGGAACAGGGGGAGAGAGAATGAAGGGGACGAAGAGAGAGAGAGAGGAACCTCCGTTGAGCTCCCGAGCTAACAAAGATGACGGAGAAGAATATTTACCACCGACGCCTTTTAAAAAAATCACCGGAGTTGGATCGTTCCGCCATGGTTTTCAAGGCGTCCCGCAAGAAGCCGATAGATTCGTCGCTGTTGTCTCCCTCTCCGGTGACGACTAAAACGTTCCGGACTCTACCTCCCAACATTGCCATTTCTGCTCGGATGGTCTTCAGGCGGAGGGATTTCAGGGTCTCGATCAGATCGGGCAATAAATCAGATCAGTCTTCGTGCTTTCAGAATCAATCTCCCTCTCCGGCACACGTTGCTTTCCAGAACACGCCGCAACTACTTCTTCCCCTTCGTCCCCTTAGCGGGTTGGCCTCCTCAGAACCGCTAAGAGTCGAACCTCACGAGTCTCGCGAGATCTCACTGCGAGTCCAGACTTGCGAGATCAGTTTGTGATGGTAGGCTATTGTGAGCCCATCTTTCTAGCAGTAGGGGAAAACCCTTGACTAACCAAAAAGACACAGCTGACGCCATTTTTCTTATTACTTTCGATCTCTTCATTTCCACTGCAATATACATTAGTCATCTCGTCCGCTTTTCCTTCCATATGATTCTTCGCTCCTCCTTTGCTAATTCCACCATACAGAGTTACTGGCCAAAAACCTTCCGGCGCAATTACCTAAAGAGCACCCTCGCTCCTACAGAGACACAGAGTAATCTCCCCTACAGTTACAACACTTATTTGGTACACTAACGCTGCATTCAATTGCCTCGCCTGACGGTGGCTGCGGAAAAGAAGGGCAAATTTGAAGCCTCCGGGACAATACGCTATTATTACCTAAAGAGCATTCTTGCTAGCCTTCGATTGCCTTGCCTGGTGAAACTGAAAGCCTTTGGGAAAGAAGGGCGAATTTGACATTTCATTTCTTTTTGTTAATGCTTAGCCGCAATGACAATTGTCAAAGAACTTACTGCAAGACCATACTCCCAAACATGACCTTAAAATGATGCTCATTTTGACTTCGCCTAGCTGAAGCAGGAAAAATAGAATTAACAACTAGAACGTAACCAATTTCCACATACCCGATTAGTTCCAATTATTTAGTGAAAAAAAAATCCAATTACACTATCTCAGTCTCAGGCTTCGGGTCGGGTTCATTGGAATTTTAATAAAAACCAAGTCCGAGCCTGACCCATGAATAGGTCTATGTATGGCTAAAGACTTGAAAGTTTCTTATATCTAGATCAAAGGAAATGACCAGAAGGTGGTTAAATCCCTGTTGGAGGATCACCTCGATACACCTTGGCAATTATTCTCTATCATAGCCAAATTGTATGGACCTTCTAAAGGAATTCCAATCTTATACCATCTCCTTCATACCACACACATACAATTAAAGCCACTCATGTTATTGCAAAATAGGCTTGTAATATTTTTAGGACCATCACTTGGTCTATCCCTCCGGGTTTTCTTCTACCTGTACTAAATGTTGAGTTGAGTGAACGAATCTGCCTAAGGGCTTTCATTCAAAAAAGAAAAAGAAAAAGAAAAAAAACTCCTATTATTTCATCGAAGGAAAATTGTGTCTAAACCTCACCATGACTTTCCAGCATTTCTCTTAAACTCACCATAAGGGCATGTCATTGAGTTTTTATTTTCTAAAACACCATCCGTTAGAGCACCTTAGTGTACATTGGCAAAAGTTGTCCACAGCAATAGAAATGCAATTTTCATGACCAAACTGCCCCTAAATGGAAAGCCAGCCTTATTAAACATATTTTATGACTAAAATGCACTTAAGTGCCCAACTGCCTATAAGATTTCTACTTGTTGAGAGACGCTTTGCTCTCATTGCGCTGTTCAAAAGTATTCCAAGGAAGTTGAAAAATGGGTTTTGGGTCAAATAATAACAGGGGTAGTTTTGGAATATTAAAAAATGGGCCAAATATAGCAAACGGTAAAATGATAATCTACTCACACTTGTTAGTCTGTCTAACATCAAAGTTACTAACATATTAAAGAAAATAAGTGTGATAAAGAATAATTATTTTATTGATGATAGAAATAAAATACAAATTTAAAACCAACCAAAGCGAGTTGTATTCGTTTTCGTTGACAAGCCAACAATTCAACCTTTATGGTCAAATGTGTCAACCCTTGATGTCATAATTAAATAATAAAATAATAATAATAAAGATAAAAAACATATAAAAATATAAAAAAAATATTTAGAAAACATTCAAACACATCTCTAATATAGTATATCCATCATATTAAACAAAAATAAGTGTGATAAATAAGAATAATTTTTGTAAACATAGAAATATAAAAAATGTAAAAAATTTTAGAAACATATTATTTACTATCATCATCATAAAAAATTACACATGCAAACCAATGCACACTTACTTGTACGACTAACAGTTGTTGGTACATGTTTCGTGGTCCTTGTTAAACATCTTATTTGTAGTGAATCCAGAGTGGTTGAAGGCACCCAAAAACCTGACAATATTTAACCCAACATTTGATCTGATTATTTCAGACTCAGATGATCCATGTTTATAAACGATCAAACTTGGATTAATGAAGTTAGATCCCCTTTGCTCTTTAGTCTCAACCCTAAAGCTGGGGTTCAATTTGGGCCGGCCCAATGAGGTTGCCTTGAGATCAAACCTAGCACAATCCCTTATTGAAGTAGAACCTCCGCCTCCAAACAAAAGCCTAACCCAAGCAATCCTTCAACCTGATGTAGTCAACCCTAATCCAAAACTAATCTATAACAACCCTAAATCAATCCAATGGCATTTTTCTAAGCAAATCGAACTTGGATGGAGGTACATCAGATACGAATTGACCCATTCAAAGATCTTAGTCACAAAAAGGATTTAGATAATGACTTGGTGGGTTGGGTGGGCTATGGGTGTTATTAAGACTGAAACAAATCAATGGCCCAGAAGAAAATGATGATATGGCTATATCATGATGACTAGCACATTTCCCCATGGTATTAGAAACTCTCTCCTTCCCAGTTGCTTCTTTTGTAAATTGTAGTTGGGGGTTACACAAGATGCTGGAGGAGAATGCCAAGGAAACTCAAGCCAATGTGGATTGTGGACCTTTTTGTTGATGCAATTCTGAAAAGAACAATACACCAGACATTAATGCAATTCTTTGTAAATGGTACAAATCTGTCCCCCCTTTTGACTTCTCTCCAGTGTTTTTGTATCACAAACAGTGGACAGAATTATACCCAAAAAATTAATTTATGATAATAATGTCATGGAGTGAACCATTCTAGATTCCTCTCCATAAAAGACAGATGAATTCATTCAGAGATAAATCTGAAGAATATTTGTACTAACTAGAAAGGAGAGCATCTCATGTGAATCTTTCCAGTAATGTGTCCAAAAGAAATTTCCCCGTCTTATCTGGTTGCTTCTGTGGTGGGACCGAAATTTTACCAACTGAAACATTTGATCTATATATATTTTCCTTCCTTTCATACCATGAAAATTTTGTTATAGTTCACAAAGAGAAATAAATGCAGTTACAAAGATTTGCAGTAAATAATTTCCATATATAGAACTGCACACATCCATAAAAAAAAAAAAAAAGAAAAATCAAACCCCATCATCATAAGGAAATGAAGTTGAGTCCAGCCACTGGTCGCCGGCGATGAACTCTGAGACGGTGAAAGCCCTTGCATCCTCATAGTCCATTATGTGGTACCCTGGCCAGGTGACTCGTCCATCAGTGTCTGAACCTGGCCCACTATTCTCATACTCTCCATAATACAGTGTATCTAATCCTTGATCACCAGACCACTCAACCCATCCACTGGGATCAATGAGGCTGTCAATGTAGGATTCCATGTACACAGTCCTCGAGTATGTTGTCCATGGCCTCCCCAGGTAACTCTTGACACTACCAGATTTAGAGGATAAGTCGTCTGAGGCAAGAATTGAACAGTTCTGAATGGAGATCCCAGTGTCCATATCTGGGTTGTCTCTGGCCTGAGCTGTGATCACATTGAATTGCCCCGGGATGGGCAGCCTTGCTATCATGTTGCAGCCCTGGAAGACAACAGCTGCATTTCCACAGATGAAATCCACAGTCCCATAGATGTCGGACTCCCTATAGAATTGCCTGAAGGAATGAACATACAGTGTGTCTTGGTACCCCACAATCTTGCACCGGTAGACTGCCGATAAGTCGGCATTCACCCGCAAGGCGACGGCCTGCTGTTTTCCGGGCCCTGCCGTGTTCATGAAGGCCATGTCCCGTGCTAGAAACCCATTTCCGGAGACACCTGAAATGAATTAAATGGTGCAAGTTTATCAAACTTAAGCACAGTGTGCTTAGCCCAAAAAAAATGAACACAATCTTCAATCAGGACAGCAAAAAAATGGACCCACTTAGGGTTAGCATGTCATCTTCTGAATCTTGATAATGGTGTGAAGAACTAAATTATGTAATCTAACTACTTTTCGCGTGCAGTCATGTAAATTGCAGTCCAACTTGTTGAATGAACCAGGAATTTACTTTATTTTATTTTATTTTTATTTATCTTCCCTAAGCACAAACCCTTACATTAATTAGAATTCAATTAATAATGAAAAAAAAAATGAGAGAAAAGAAAAAGTTAAGCAAATGACAAGAATCAGTACATCCCCAAACATTCAGAAGAAATTAAAACAAGCACATTAAAAGGTAGGAACTTTGAAAGAGAAAGAAGGGTGGAAAGAATTTTGGCTCATTACCAAGAGTTGCAGAGCTGAAAGTAGTCCAACCATCACCCATGCTTCTGCTGCCTGTAATTACCGTGCTATCTGCACCATCTCCCAAGAGTACAATGTTAGTCTTGAAGCTTGGGATGTCCACATTTTCCTTGTAAATTCCTTCTCTGACATATATAATTATTCTGTCACTTTTGTAACTGGGAGCAAAATTAATAGCAGCAGTAATGGTGGTGAAGTTTCCGGTACCGTCCTTAGCCACTGTAATTATGTCGCTTGGATTGTAATCTCCGCCGGAGCTCTGCAATATCCGGCGATCTCTCGGGGACAACCAAGCCGGGAAGCCCATGAGGCGCCTGTTCGACCCACCTTTCATTTTCTGTGGGGCAGGCTTAGGCAAAAGTGAGAGTGAATTACTAACATGTTTGTAAGAACTGATGATGGACTGGACTAAGACTGGTTTCAGAGGACCTGTTGCAGAATCAAGACCCTCCAAACAGGTGTTCTTGTTGGTGAGAGCTGCACTGAGGAAAGCTCTAGCATCAGATAGCTTACGGGCATCGTCTGACTGGATCCAGGACATGGATCTCTGCAGAGAAGTGATTGTAATTTGGTGGAGCTCCTTGCAGTCTCTGATGGCTCCTCGTTGCTTTTCAACAATGCCCGAGTCTCCATTAATGGTGGAGAAGAGATCCAAGACCTTGCCCGCTTCTGAGATTGCAATCTGCAGTGTCTGAAGAAGGTAGCTAAGGATGTTTGGAGTGATATTGATATCGACTGAAATGGAGAGCTTCAACGAGTCGAAGCAGGCATCTGGGTATGGTGTGGATTTGCAGACAGATTTTATAGAAACCAAATGAGTATCTAAGGTAGCAGTAGAAGAAGAAGATGATGAGATAACAGCCCATGATCTTGTACAGAAGATTGCAGAGAGGAGTAGAAATGTTTTGAGAAGGGATGAAGCCATGAAAGCTGGTTGGAGCTGAAAAATTTCTGGCTTGATGTTGGGGAAGAATCAAGCTGAAGACTGTACTTAATGAGCTCTTTGGAACGTAACTTGCATGGATTATGTTAATCCTTCAAAGATTAAAATATGAAGGTACTGATTGTTTAAGCATCCGTGAATCACTAGATGGAACAGAGTTGAAACGTTTCTAATTTGGTCGGTGATGGGACTGCAATCACATATTTTTAATTAATATGCAGCAGATACCCTTAATTTTATATGCAGTAAACCAGTTAATGTGATTTGGTTTAATTTTCTTGGCCCTACAGACGAGGTGGTATCTCACCAAGTCTTTTAATTCCATATTTTTAGAATTTTATTAACAATAGTAATTCTTATTTTTATACTTAATTTTATCCCTAATTTTTGTATAATTTTTGTTTTTTTACAATTTATTTATATTTTATTTATAACCTATTATGTCATTAATTGATATAATTAATAATTAATCTATACAGTTGAATCACTGACCCACCACTGGAATGAAAAAGTGGTCCTATTTTCCAGTTGGCTTTTAAAACACTGAATGACTGAAACCACACAAATGGTTGTTTGGCAATACTCTTCTTTATTCCTCTAAGATGGGTTAGGTACCTGCTTTACAGGTTTTTTTGGTCTTCAATATAGGTGTAAGTAGGGCCAGGTTGGGCTGGGTCAAGGTTTAACCCTTGCCCAACTCAAAATGTTGAACCGATCCCATCCACATTAGGTTGGATTGGATTGGGCTGAAGATTATCTCATATTTAAACTAAAAAAATCATAACCTCTTAAGTTTACAATATTTTTTTTGGAAGGTAATATTAGCAGGTCAGAGGTTAGTAAGGACACAGGATGAAAACAGAGTAGAGAGTTAAATGAGACTCACTGGTCAAACCATGGAGAGCCTACAGTTTCATAATTTCTCAACTACGGGGTTTTATGGAAAATTTTACATACATACCATAAAGTACATGTTTTATATTCAGAATCGATCAAATCGAATCTTGGATGCACATCATCAACTTTCCAACTATTTCTAAGGCAAGGTTAGCTATAAAAGGGAGCATTCACCTCAAGGTAAGCATATATTCAAAATCCCAAGAACTGTTCTTGACTATCAAGGACTAAGCTCTAAGCCCTCATTTTTTGTTTGATTCAACTCTTCATTAAGCATTCAACTAACTTGGCAATCAAAACCTCCACCCTTGCGATAACACCCGGAGGCCTTTGACGTGTGCTCTTTTCTTATTTACAAAACAGACTAATAGGTTTCAAACACTAAAAAATTACCTTATTACCTTCGGCCCTGGCATAACACCCGAAGCCTCCGAACCTCAACCTTCATCCAAAGTTAAAAGTTTTATGGAGCAGAGAACCCGGCCTAAGTAGAACTTATACACGGTAACTGAGTCCAAACTATTGAGTAGAGAAAAGGTTTTATTAAAAATTATAAATAAGAGCAGTAGCTATAGTCTAAATGCTTAGCCTAGTGAAATTGATCATTTCCAAGGTATATAAAAGTGATTTTGGTACTAGTAGAATCACCATGTAGCCATAAGAAGTTGCAACAAGAATTGAAAGTAATATTAAAGCAGACACTATGAGCGGTTTGTCGGTTCTGTGGTCTGCATGTGAATGTTTCCATCAATTTGTACAGCATTTCTTGGTGTCAGTATGCTCAAACCATGATTCTGTACCATAGAATCTAAATAAATATTACTACCATCCAACCCATTCTCTAATTGATCAAGTTAGTTGATTTTGATAGACACCAGAATCTAAACCAATCAAACAATATATAAGAACAATTAGTAATACAACTCTTCCTCAGAAAATGCATACCCAACTTTGTCTGTAGTTCATCTTTTCATTGGTCTCATATGAAGAAGAATACAAGAGTTTCATAAACTAAGTTGTTTTGCTAGAATTCTTCAGTAAATTTATTCCAATTGATCAATCACCAAAGCCCTATTCTAGCTAGGTTTTGTTGGCAATTCATAACTGCAAAGTTGTAAACACATGTCAATTGCCAACCTAACACATGGAACTGCACTGGCTATAGATACTTAATAGAAAGAATACTCAGATATCAGAAATTCACAAAACCAAGGTTATTATTTAAAGGTTAATTCAATTAATGGGGCACAGCAGTATATGTAAAGGCTGGAATTTTCGTCAACCATTTATACTAATTATAGGCCATATAGGCCAAAGCCCACTATTTAGGGACCACTATCAGGTTGTAATGTCTTGGAATAAAAGATATAAATACACGAGCTAAGCTACAAAGAAGCTTCATAGTATCTGCCATGAAATCCCTTCATGTCCCACCTAGAGTATATATACATCAAAAAAAGTCTAACCTAAAATTTTACATTTAGGCCTAATTCATTTTTTTCTTCGAATATAGGAGGGGGGTTTTGATTGACCGACTTCACAGTGTTTTTTGGTAAGCTTTGGATTCCATGAAAAAGTTAATTTTTTTGGGCTAAATAAGTGATATCCATCTCCTAAGTGGGTGTAAGTAACTTTTTCAATCAGGGAAAAGTTTTCAAAATATAATGGGATAAATTTGCGCATTCTAACATTAGTTTTTTATGGGTAAAAATGTTTATATATAACTTTACCTGATAATATCAAAAGAACATGAATAGGTGAAATTACCTGAGTAAGTATTTCCTATGAAGCACTTAACTGGATAATTGCACTTAACTAGATAAATGGCCTTTTGAAAAATGAACAAAGCCTTCAAAGAAAATCCAAGGGGTAAATTACAAACGCCCGCCCTATACTTATGGGTCATGACACATAGCATCCCAAGCTCTATATTGCGACAAAACCCTCAGTATTTCGGGCTTCCGGTGCTTCGCATCCGATGAGTTAATAGGTTTTATGGTGAAAGTGAAATTATTTAGGGGTGTTCGACAACATGTTTTTACTGATGAACCAACCATGTTGTCAAACACCTCCTAAATTGCCCATTTAAAAATCTATGGACTGACAACAAAATGACAATAATTGCAAATACACTCATTCTAAAGCTCAGTATTTGAAGATCAGCCACTCATTCAAAGTGTTAAGTGTTGAAGAAGAATTACTTGTTCATCAACACTTTTATAGAGGATGTGAACTTTTCTACCAGCTTGTTGAGAGAAATTTAAGATCAAGGTTTAAAATATGGGACTGTATTGATTAATACGTATCATATCGAGGGCTTTCTAATACACCCCTACAGTTGATGTTTTGGGCTCAATCGGTCTAAAAAATGGATGGACCTTAAACCGATTCCTCTGAATCAAATTCGGAAAAACTAAAAAAAAAATTAAAAAAAAAACTACCAGAAAATGTATACGATATTTTGAACCTTACTTGAGATGAACATTTAAGAGTAGGGTTTTAGAAAAACCAAGTGAAAAGGGCGAAATGATTGAAAAAAATTAACATAAAAATAGTTAGGGTTTTAAAAATGTATAATCTCAGAAATGATAGTCATATGAGAATATTCCATGTAGTTAACTAATGGAATGGTGACAACAAGGGAAAAGTGCTGGAATCAAGTATAGGGATTTTTTGTCTCAAAGCAAATTTCAGGGACAAATTGTCATGATCATCCCCCCATAGGTACAGGGTGGGTATCTAATTTTCTAATTTACCCAAATTGAAAAGATTATCTCTTCAAACAACCTGATTTTTTGAATTATTAGGAATCCTGTTTGGAATGTGTACCCTTGGCTAGAGTCTCAACTTCAAAATAGCAAAATTTCCTAATCCAGTCAGCAGAGGAAGCTTCCTATACAAACAAATCTGCTTCTTCCCATGGAGGCTATCTGGTAGTCAATCTAGTCTGTGTTGATAAATCTGTTAATCTAATCTGTGTTCATAAGATAGGGACCAACTAGGTTGGCAACTGTTCAACTCCATAAAGTCTATATTAATCTTGTATCCAACTGGTAGTTTTTACTATTAATATTAACTGTTGGGACATTCATTTTTTAAAACAACACTTGATCCATAAAACATGGCTTATTTTGCACAAATGGCATGGTATGCCAATTTTTTTCACAAGGATAAAGAGAGGAGTTAAGAGACACCTTTGGAGCTTCAAATTAATTTGCCACGTGGAAGATTCTTGGATCATTTATGGAGGGAGGTTCACTAAATGACCCAACTAGCTTGCTAAATAATCACAAATTTGCAACTTTACTTCATTCTTGGGTCATTTGATTATCTGATTGATTTTTAGTGTGACTATTTATTTGTTTGATGCAGGAGTCATCTGATACTGGGCCACCTGATTAAGGGTTTGTACCATTCTTGGGATGGGGCCCATAAAATACATGTCCCACGATGTCTTAATGTATTTTCATAGACCCAAAATGTCTAGGGCTGAGAGTATAGGAGTTACATCCACACTAGTTGGTACTAGTTTTCCTCTATTCACATCACATGTGAGATCCTCTGTGATGTGTTTGCTGCTGCATACCAAGCCAATGTTTGTTATTAATTTTTAACTTGTTTGTCCCCTAATCCAATAATTGATTCTTCGTTCAATGTACCCGAGTATGTAGAACTAATCAACCAAGTAAACAAACAAAAAAGAAAGACAATAAAAATGTATCTCATTCATAAAGAATTGAATGCATCAGTGTTTCCATTTATGCTTTCTTTGGCTGCACTAGGTAAAGTAAGTAATGTCGCCTAAAATGGCGGAGGCAGCAACGCATTCAACCGATTTGTGTGTACCCTTCCTAACATAAATAAGAGCAATGTTGCTAGGAGCACTTTCACAAACAAAGCCATTTGCACAAAAGCTTTCAACCGTCTGATCAGTTTGAGATTATGGGTTGGTATCAGATGGGCACCACCATGATCTGTTACTAGGGCTGCATGTTGGGTTGTCCAACATAAAGAATTTCAACTATATCAAGCCCGGGTTAAGGTTTGGGCCTATTGAAAATTTAACAAATTCTTAATCCAATCCGACCTAAATTACACCCTTATCTCTTGTAACTTAAAAGGACCAGGGCAAATCAAAAAGGAATTTAACAATTAATGATATGAGTTTATGGCATTAATGAAAAGAGCTAGTGCACAAATGATCACTTTGCTCAAATACTTTTAGGCCTTGTTCGCTTTTC